AGAGAGAGAGAGAGAGAGAGACACAGTGGGTAGAAATATAACAAAAAAAGATTAATGACTGGATGAAGCCTCTGCCTTTATTTCAATCTTGTTTTTAGTCCAATATTGGGTCTTCGAACTGCATTTTTTGAGCTTTTACGTTAGCAGAATATTGGCTTCACTGTTTCAAAAAAAAAATAAATAAAAATAAAAGAAGAAAAGTCCCGTGAATGTATGAAAATTAAATTTTTATACTGAAAAGGCGTTAATTCATGATAATGTCGTTTGATACGGCTGCCAAAATGTAGGATTGCGAATTACATATGGACCGTTTAGATGCATAACATGGTGGTCGAATTTAGCTCATTAAGAAAGAAAGAAAGAAACTTTCCTTGTAGACTATGCAATCTCTGTCCCATCCTAATTTATTGATGCGCAATGGCTTAAGCAAATAAAAAATATTGTAAAATCAGAGCCTATTGATCTAATTAATCAATATCGCACGTTTTAAAGAGAGAAACAGTTTATTTGAATTGTGGAATTGAAACTAAGGTTTTTCCATCATTGGCGTAAAAAGGGGGAAAGTTGGTGAATATTTTAAAGGGCAAATATTTTTGTATTATCGTAAATAACGCGTCATTTTTAAAGAAGTATTCATTAATCGCATGGATAAATACGCAGATACATAGCCTTAGTATCACATTATTGAGTAACGCTCGTCCTGGCGGATATTTTGAAAAAATTCATACTGTTTTGGATAATGCCAATCATCGCCTATTAAAATTTCGTGTTATTTCGATCGTTTGCTTACGAGTTATAGAGGTTTTAGTGCCGCTACATACGGTATTTGAAAGACAATGAAAAAATCCGAATTTCATGAGTTCATTGTTTTTAGATAGGCAGAAATGCCGTTCAAACTCAGAATTGGCCTTGAAAGATCTTACTATAGTTTTTCTACTATGAAAACAGCAATTGGCTGTTGGCCGCACCGCAATCGAAAACTATTTTCAATAATCGAGAGATGAAATTGCAAGAACTGGCTGATATCATACCACTAGCTCCATCGCCATCCGTCAATTTCCCAGATAGATTTAGTGAATCTTCAAACATTTTCTATGCGGTATGTGGCATTAGATGAAACACGGCTCTACTACTCTAGACCTGCATCGAATGAACAGTGGGCTGATTAGGAAGGAACCGGTGAAACGCGCGCATAGCTATCATGAAAGCAATAGTCGATCAGTAAGTCTATGACGTTCGTATTTCAGGAGGCGTATTGACGCATCTCCAGCGGCTATTTTCCGTCTGCAAATATAGAAAGCATGCTCCAAGGGGAAATATTTCATTTAAATAATGAGTAAAGGCGAGTTTTGCACCAAAAAATCATTTGTCGCCTACTTAGTCTCGGGGCTCGTGTCTGGTAAACCAAAAATAAAAAAAGTCTAAATCAAGATAACCGGACTTTCCTTGTGAACAATTTATAACTCGGGTATTGATCTGCAATTTGGTTCAGCTACCCGACGAGGACATCGAAAATCCTCAAAGACAGACTGATCAAATTAAGTGCAAAAAATTAAAATGGAAAACCGTCATCAAGTATATTCACAAAAGCTAATAATCTTTGGAAGTTTGGAAATGTTTGATAGTGTTATATATGTTGAAATTAGTATCTCGGATAGCAGTTCTTGGATTTTAGGGCTAAGCAATTTTGAAGTATTTCGCAAAGTGACGAAACTGTATTATCCAAAGTGATAATAGAAGGATGGCGAATCGGGCGATTAATCGAGTACATGGGCATAATGGTAATTTATCACTTGCAATAAGTTGCACTAGCTTAAGCTTAATATTGCTGACGTTAAATGTTTCGTAAGCAAAACTTTTTTCAAAAATTTATTTAGTAAAGAAATATTCAAACCCGTTTAATCGTTGCCAACACAACTAACTGCTAAAAAATAGGAAAATAAAATTCTTTTCTTTTTCTTACTTACTATAGTAATTCACATATAAATCCGCTGCGATATTATACCCGCCCTCCTCATTTCTTGGTTCGCCCGCTTATAATCTTTATAAAAAAAAAGTGCGAATTTCTTTTCTTTACCGGTTTTTTGTATTTTTTTAAACTGTTCCAAAACAAAACAAAATACAACACTATGCTAAGATTCCCAAGAGTTAAAACATGACAACAAGAAATGAAATGAATAAAAAAAAAAAGGCAAGGAAAATATGAACAATGTTTTCGAATAAAGTTGTAAAAAGCAAAAAAGACATCGTATCGTGGAAGAAACAGCGGCAGAAAAAGAAAAAAAAAAAAAAAACCAAAAAAAGTTTTCTAAGTTTGCTTGGATGCGTTGGAAAATCTTTTAAGCTTTATGCAATGTTTTAAGTTTCACCAAAGGGAAAAGAAAAGGTTTCACTTTACTTTTTAAACTTTATTTTAAAGCAACAATCCTAAAAAGGTGGTTAAGAAAAGAAAAGTGAGAAGCACAAGAAATAGGAAAAAACTAAAAAAAAAAAAAATAAAAAAAAGGCAAAAAACGTTTAAGAAAAAGAGTACATTTAATTTAAATGTTGCATGATTTCAGCAATGTTTTTGGTGATGAAAAAAGCAATGCGCAACAGCAGTGATAGCAGCAGCAGCAAGCAAGTATAACATGCAAGCAACAGTTTCCTTAGAATTTTCCTAATAAATTATTAAGTTACAATATTATGCATGGAACGCTCATAAATAAGGTGCAGAGTATAGCGGGCGCAAAAGTATAAAAGAAATTTGGTCGCAAACACCAACAGCAACATAGACGTTAATGCTGTTGGCTAAGCTTTAATTGCATGTCGTGTTAACGTTAAGAAATCTCAAGTGTTGTATTTAATTCCTTTAGGGGATTTCCTTTGATGATGATAAGCGGGCGAGAGCTGATAGGAGTGTATACGAACATTACTTTAAGTGTTTCACACAGTTCTCATTATGTTTCTCTACCCTTTTACATTAAAATATTTGGCTAATGCCATGAGTGCTTATTTAAGAATGGAGAACAAAAAATTTCTTTTGTGTGGCACTCGTTTATAGGAAATCTAAAGTTTTTAGTCCCGTTAGTAATATAAACGAAATACATGCTAGCTCGTGTGTCTTGTCGCTGTTTTTGTTGTTATTTTTGCGAAACGATCTAGCAATGAATCTTGGGGGGAAAAAACATTCATTGACTAAAGACTAACCGCTTTGCCTCGTACCCTTACAATTCGTAAGCATAGAAATGCAACAATTTCCACTTGTAAGCATTAAAAATGAAACGCATATGTATTTCAATAGCGTAGAGAACAGAGATACTCACAAAGGTTAAGACAACCTCTCTCATCCTTAATGTAAGGTGTGCATGTGCTTTACTACTACTGTTGCTATCACATTGCTCTTCGGTTTCTCCCGATGGAACGTAAAGAATTAACACTAATATACTCTACGACTTCCTGATTGTTGCTTATTTGGCATTTAAACCGTATGATATATAAAGTGTTTCATATTTCATATTGTTGCACATACAACTCTCTGCTCATGCTTGTTACTGAGAGTCATACGACCAACAGGCATTAACGAGCAACAACTGTTTCTTATATGAAGCAGCAACAGTGTGATTATCAACGTAGCAGTAATAGCCGCAATAACAACAACAACAATAATAATAATAACAACGATAATAAGAGCAAGAACAATAACGATTTCAATAAAAAGCACGATTTTTCGGAGCGAAATATATGAACACACAGTGACGGGCACACACATAAGCCAATTATATGTATCCAATTCGCCGTACAAGTATATTTTAACGGTTAAGGGTAGTTTTTTTTTCTCTAAATTCAGAGAACGAGGTTTCAATTCCATTTCGTAAACGGATTTTTAAACAGGGGGTAGTTGAGTGTTCCTGCACATGATTTAAGAGTAGACAGCTATATAAGGCCAGCTACTGGCAGTTGGTGTTTTCATTAACCTCCAAGGGTTGCTTACGTTCGGTTCGCATTTCTATTCTCTCTCTATTATATAATATATTCTCTTTGAACGGATCCTTCAGTTTTCATTTCCCTACAACAATCAAATTTTCACTAAATATAATTTTTTTTCTGACAAATTTCAACTTCAAACGATTTAAGTTAAAATTAATTTCGAATAAAAATAAATCAAAAAAAAAAAAAACAAAAAAAACAAAAAAAAACACAAAAAAATTCGCGAAAATTAATAAAAATCATTACAACAATAACAACAGTAAGAGGTAAAAATAAATAACTAAGTAAGTTGAAAGAACGGAATAGAAATTGTTGATATTTAAATTTTAAACGTCACGTAATGTTTATGTTAGTTTTTCCGGTTTTATCGAACGTATATTATTTTTTTTAATAATAAATACAAAATAAAAAATTGAAAAAAAAAGGTTGAAATTAAAAAACACAGCCATACAATTTTATGTAAACACATATATACCTATAAATATAACATATATATACATATACATATATGTGTAGATATATATGTGTATATATACATATAGATATATATATACATATTGATATATACATATTGATATCACATTTGTATATAAATATATATATATATATATATATATATATATATAAACTGTATATATGAGTGTATGTGTGGATATACATAGCCATATGTATATATATTATATAATAGACATATATATATATATATCGATATATATATATATATATATATATATATATATACATATACATTAAACGTCCATATAAATTTACAAATGAAGAAAGTGCAAACAACAACACCAACACAAATAACAACAGCAACAACTGCAACAAGATATTACAGCAAACTTAAATAGTTTCTGAGTGCTAGCCGGAAGACGAAAAAAGTATAAAAAAAATCGATAACGTTGCAAATGCAATCGCAGTGCAATGCCACTTCGTTACCCAAGTATTTTAACCAATAATACAAAGAATAAAAAATAAAGTGTTTTACAACAAATTATAAAAGAAAAGAAAAAAATAAAAAATAAAAAAATAAAATGAAAAGATAAACAAAACACAATCATATATTAAAGCAGATAAATGTAATATGTTTTAAAAACTTTCGAAACAACACCTACACGTATATGCACGCAGAGAGATTAATAGAAAGCCACAAACACACATTCGATTCAATAATGAAAGTACATTAAAAAAAAAAACACTAAACCAAAAAATTTCGACGAGCCCTATACTTAAACTGAAACTTAAACTGAACAAACTCTTAACAATCAGTCTTGAATTTATATATTTCAACACGTGTTTGCATCAATATTTTCATTTAATCTAAGCTCGTACGAAATTAAACTCGGCTATAATTCAAAGTCTATCCTTTGATATATGAAAGCATTTTTATTTGGTTACGGATTTTTACTTGCATCATTCTCTTTTTCCTGTTCCTATTCCTGTTCCTGTTCCTGTTCCTGTTTACTTTCACTTTTTGCCATTAAGTTTCGTAATATTTATCCGTTAATATGCCCCGCTGTTTAATGGCAAAAAAATGGAAAGCCTATCCTTGGCCAGATCGTGCTGAGGAGAAAATTAATACCAGCCCAATTATTAACACTGGCACTGCTAACAACGTCAACGGTAGTAGTAGTAATTCTGGTTTAACTTCTACTGCAATCAGTGACTCGGCAACGGAGTTAACTGGACAAGTGCTTGAGAAAAAGGAATCCATTAATGAATTGAATAGTCGTCACGATGTTGTCGATGAAGACGAAGAAATTGATGTGGTCGGGGACAACGTCTTAAACAATTCACTTTCATCTGCGATCGCTAATAATACTGATACCAATAATAATAATAATAATAATAATAATAATAATAATAATAATAATAA